GTGTAAATATTTTAAATATATTTTACCAAGCCACAAAACAGGTTCAGAAGGTTCAGTTCAGTTAAGTCACTCAGTCATGTATGACTCTTTGCAACCCCATGAACCGCAGCACGCCAGGCCTCCCTGTCCATCACCAACTCCCGGAGTTTACTTAAACTCATGTCCGTTGAGTCGGTGATGCCATCCAACCGTCTCATCCTCTGCCGTCCCCTTCTCCTCCCACCCTCAATCTTTCCCAGCATCAGGGTCTTTTCAAATGAGTCAGCTCTTCGCATGAGGTGGCCAAATATTGGAGTTTCAGCTTCAGCATCAGTCCTTCCAATGAACACCCAGGACTGATCTCCTTTAGGATGGACTCGTTGGATCTCCTTGCAGTCCAAGGGACTCTTAAGAATCTTCTTTAACTCCACCATTTAAAGGCATCAATTTTTCGGCGCTCAGCTTTCTTTACAGTCCAACTGTCACATCCATACATGACTACTGGGAAAACCATAGCCTTGACTAGATGGACCTTTGTTGACAAAGTAATGTCTCTGCTTTTTAATATGCTGTCTAGGTTGGTCATAACTTTCCTTCCAAGGAGTAAGCGTCTTTTAATTTCACGGCTACAGTCTAGTTTATCAAATGTATGTAGTAAATAGAAAGGTAATTTCCATAATTCATTTGAATACAATGGAATTAAATATTATAAGGATCATAGACAATATTAAAATAGTAAATCATTTTATTTTCTAAATCTGTCCCCTTTCTCCCAAGCAATAATTCTATTTTACTATTTCAAAATATACTTAGAATTAATGTTGTTAAAGTTTTCTGTTTTTTTCTTAACTAAAAATCAGAAGCCTGTTTCTCTTTCTGAAAAACTATAAGAAAAAAAACAAACCATAGTAGATTTTCTTACTTGAAAACTAGTTTTCAAATTTCAAAATTGCCCCTTTTCACAGAGTTGCTATATATTATGTCTTGATATAAAAATAACCCTTGTTTTTATGACTGAAAAAAAATGTGTTGGCAAGCCTTCTTGGGTTGACATTTTTAAATCACTATGTAAATCTACCTGAGAATTTTTTTTTTTTGGTAATATGAGATATGAATAAATGTTCTGTCTATTACTTTTTCATCACCTGGTCCTAGTTGCTTGCAGTCTTAGTTGAGATGAACTGGGAAGTTTTCTCAAGTTAATTAGTCTTATTATATAACATTTTTTATAGTCAATTAGTTAATTTTGACTTGTTTTATGTAGGATTCTGATTAAACTTATATTTTAAAATGTCACTAGTCTATATTTTAAAGCATTTGTGTAAAGTACTCTTTTAATAAATTTAAATTACCATGTTTGGGATTTTTACCGAAAACCCCCTGCTTTCATGACACGTATAAGAAGTGTTAGTGGCTTGTGTGTGTAAGAAGATATGCAGGGAAAGAGACTAGAGCAGCAAGGGTGAATAATCACTAATTCACAATGTAGTATTCTGTTGGCATTTCCTGTTATGAAATATAGCCATTTGTTCCTTTAGATCTCATGCTTTATGTTGGAAGGTGGCGTTGTGTAAATATGGTTGTTGAGTCCAAGTCTGAGATTGGAAGATGCTGACTGAATAAACTTTAACTATATTTTTGAACTGAAGACATTCTTATCTTTAAGTTGAACATATGGTTATTGCAGTTGAAATCTAAACAGACCTGATGACGTTCTCTGATAATTTCCATTTTTTCAGGTCTCTCTAAAGGGCAGTTACGTTATGAATGGATTGTGTGTATTCTGAGCCTTTTTAATTTCTTCTCCTTCAGGTCCTGGAGATAGGGTTGGAGAGGTAGGCAGTTACGTACTACATAGACCCTTTCACAGTTTCAAGACTTTTTAGCTGTTGCCTTAGCAGTCCTTGTCACAGTAGTGATTGAGTGATTGTTTATGTGATTGTTCTGTGACTGTCTCTCTTGTTCAGCAGAGCCTTGTGTGTCCAGGGCCTGCACTGCCATCAACTGCAGCACTGTGTTTAAAGAGATCAGTGGCGCTCACTGCAGTGTCAGATATGAACCCATCTCACGTGAAAATTTGTTTTCATGTATTTAATGTGTCAGAAGATGTTCTTGTGTAAAAATGTTCATCCTCTGCACAAAAGATCCCATCCCCTAAGAGAGTGACATGTAATGAGCTGGATTAATTAGGAGATCATTCCAGGAGTCATTTGTCTTCTTTATTTGTTGGCCATGAGGACAGACTTTTCTCTGATTTGTTCATGAGCTTATGCTTAGCAGTAAGAACAGTCCCTAGCACAAAAACATGTGTTGAATCAATGGATTAATAAAAGTTAATGACACTCTTAACTCAATAGTAAGAAAGCAAACAATAAAAATGAGCAAAGGAATTGAACTGACACTTCACCAAAAAAGATATAGGGTGGCAAATAGGCTCATGAAAAGATGAACAACATTACTAGTCATTAAAAAATCCAAATTAAAACCCCAGTAAAATGTTGCTGGATAACCTATTAGACTGGCTAAAACCAAAATACATGGCAATACCAAGGCTATTGTGGATGTGAGGCAACAGAACTCTCTCATTTGTCACTAGTAGGACAGCTCACTTTGGAAATTAGTTTGGTAGTTGTTTGTAAAATTAAGCATACATTTAGCATATGACCCAGCAAACCTAGAAATTTACTTATGAAAAAACTAAAATTGTATGTCCACAGACACATATGCACATAAAATACTATATGAAGATGTTTGTGAAGTTTTTATTCATAATTTCTAAAAATTGGAAACAACCCAAATGATCATAAACTGGTGAATGGATAAGTTTAAACAAACTATGGTTCATAAAACAGATTACTACTCAACAAGAAAATAGAGCAAACTACTGATAGAAGCAACAACATGAATGAGCACCAAATACCTTATGCTCAAGTAAAAGAAGCTAGACTGAAAAGGCTATGTGCTACATGACTCCATTTATAGAACATTCTGGAAAGGAATAACTATGGGACAGAAACCAGAAAAACACAGACAAGTGTTCACCAAGGACTGGGGATGGGAAAAGAGAACTGACTACAAAAGGGGAACTTCTGGGAGCAAAGGAAATAATCTATCTTGATTGTGACTGTGTTTTTGTCAAAATTCATAGAACTATTTTGAGAACACCCTGAACCAGAAAAGAGTGAATTTTACTGTATGTAAATTATACCTTAATCAAGCCAACTTAAAACCCAGCAAAGAAGGGATTAATGAGGCTCTTCTCTGTTAGTACTTAAGCTAGCAAATTATTAGCTTGCTGCTTGAGAATCAGGAATGAACTATGCTTTACCAAGGGACCAAAGAAACTAGTGAGACTCAGCTCTGTACTATTCATTTCCACTGTTTCCCCGCCCCCCCAACTGTTCTTATTGTTTGAAAATGAAAGTTGCTTAGTCATGTCCGACTCTTTGTGACCCCATGGACTATACAAGTCCATAGAATTCTCCAGGCCAGAATACTGGAGTGGATAGCCTTTCCCTTTTCCAGGGGATCTTCACAACCCAGGGATCAAACCCAGGTCTCCCTCATTGAAGGTAAGTTCTTTACCAGCTGAGCCACAAGGGAAGCCCAAGAATTCTGGAGTGGGTAGCCTGTCCCTTCTCCAGCGGGACTTCCCAATCCAGAAATTGAACCAGGGTCTCCTGCATCACAGGCAGATTCTTTACCAACTGAGCTATCAGGAAAGCCCCATATAAGTGGGTAATAAGGCACTTCAGAATCCTTAATCTCTTCAAAATATGCAATAAAAAGGTAGAATTTATTACAGTCTTGTAAGTTTCTTGTGACAAGGTCTTTATTTTTTTGTGTATTATAATCTGTAGCAAAACCACTAATTGACTGAACTCTCACTTGTTTGCTATCCCATAGAGTTGCTGTGAAAATCAGAAGAGGGCATGTGCTAAATAAATGCAGGTAGTTTTGTTGCCAAATATTAACAAACCTAGTCATAGCAAGCAAACCTGGATTTTAGGCATCAGAGGGTAAACCGGGAAGACAGTGTGGCTGAAATGTACAGGACGGATTTACTGGCCTTGCATCTGTGTTTGGCTCCATTGCCCTCTTCTTGCCCAGTGAGGAGAAACTGTGGTGTTCTGGAGTTCTGCCCATTGCATTGATGAAGGGCAGGAATGAGATCTGACATAATAGAATGGAAAGTGACTAAATGAAAGGAGTGCTGTTTAGGAAAACGTTGGACTTAGAGGTCTGAAAGACTGACTCTTCAACAGGGTTGTTTGTGTTTTTGGTACTCCAGTCTTTAATGACGTGAGAGTCTTGTTCTAGATCTAGGTGACCATGGTTGTAAATGTGTTGTCACCCATACAAAACCCTTTCTTTTGATATCTCATCTTCCAGGGTTTTTTCCATTCTGGTTCTCCATACATTTTTGTTCCAACAACAGTCTGCTTTTATGCTCAAGGATATCATAAACCCATTGATATCAGTGATAAAGTTTTAGCTATAGTCCTAACAGATTTCTCCTTTGCTTTATATACATAACACACACAATCGGAAACCTTGCCTTTTTGGCTCTTAGATTGCTATATAATATGTCTTGGAGATGTACTCCACGTTGAGCTCAAGAAATATTTATTCATAAGACTTTATTTGAGAACTCATTTATGGGGTATTGCAGAGTTATGAAATGAATCCTACTAGCAATATGGCTTTGGCAAGACCACTTAACATCTGTTTTCTTGCTTGCAAAATGCAGTTGGTAGTTTCAGCCTTGCTGTTGTCACCGTGTTGTTTTAAGGGTCACAAAAGCTTAAGGAAGCTTGCAGTTGACTCTGAAGTTTTGTGCTGATGGGAGATGGTGAAGAACAGGGAGGCCTGGCATGCTGCAGTCCGTGGGTCACAAGAGTCGGACACGACCGAGCAACTGAACAACGGCAACAGCAAGGCAGTAGTAGTATTAATGGCACGCTCCTCTTTATTTTCACCGCTCCCAGAAGAGGGTACTGATAAATTGTATGTTTTTCCAGGGAGAGTCACTCCAGGGCAGCTCATGTCCTATATTCAGCTCTTCAAGAACAACCGCAAATCCCTAGGGAATCACTGTGGGCTCCTACAGCTTGGGCTGGCCACTGTTCAAACTCTGAGACACCCACAGGCGGCCAAGTGGGACAACTTTCTGGCTTTTGAAAGGCTCCTTCTCCAGGTATGTTGCTCTGGGGGCTTCTCGGGATATTAATAATTAAAGTTTTTACTTCCAGGGAAAAATTTAATATTTATTATAATCTGAGTAATAAATCATATTGTTGACATGCACCCTATATCATATTCTGTAAGTGCCCCCAATTTAAAATGCAAGTAGCAGCTTTTTCTATACCTACCTTTTTTTTTTCCTCTTGACAGTAATATCTTTGGCTTCTCACTTAATACTTAGGTAAATGTTTTTTTTGAGTACTAAACTTTGAAAACCTCTTTTTGATTTTATGCCATTTGGACCTTTCTTAATCTTCATGGCATCTTTATTCAATTCTTGCTACTTGTCCTGTAGCATACACTACTTTTTACACTTCTTCTGACAATAGTTTCTAATCCTTAACAACATATAATAACATGTGGCTTAAAATGATGTTTAGTAACAGATGAAAGGGAGGCAGACTCCCTTTGTAGTTTTATGAAGAGATATGTACATGGGGTATGGCCTTTTCATTATTGTTAAAATATTTGCATGGATACTTTAAAAAACACGTATTTTTAAAAATATAAGGTATTTTGAAACACAAAATATTATGACTGGGTATTTATGTATTTTACACATAGATTCAATATAATTTAGTAATTTTTTAATATTTATATGCTTTTTCATTAGAGAAATAAAACTAGAGGTAAAGTTGAAGCATCTCTGATACTTAACCCGTTCCATGCTCTGATTCTCCTTTTTCCTTTCCTGGGGTAATCAGAAGCTTGATTCCTTGTTTCTATATATTTATTAAAAACTTATTTTTCCATAAATAATACAGAATACTGTGCTACGGGTTTTACTTTTTATGTAAGTGTTGTCATATTATAAATATCCCTGAACAACCTGCTTTTCCCTCTCAGCATTCTGTTTTTAAGATAATCCAAATTGACATATACAGATTTAATTGTATGAATATCCAACAATTTGTCCAATCCATATTGATGTATAGCTAGACTGTTCCATATTTGTGTGTGTGTGTGGTTAGAAAGAATGAGATGAATATCCCGGAGCTTGTCTTCTGGTTTACATGTGAGAGAGTGTCTCTAGACCACATACCTTGGAGAGGATTGTTAAATTTGTTGACCATGCATATTGATGAGTTTAAAAAATATCTGTGACCAAACTAACCACTATATTTTTCATGGGTATTTTAATGATTCTAATACCATATGTAAATTGAATTTTCTAATTGCTTACTGGTATATTGGAATAGTCTTGACTTTTGATTGGTGATCACATGTCCAACAGCCTTGCATTTTGTATTTATATTTGTTATCCAGTTTTTTTAAAAAAAATTTCTTTGGAGGATAATTGCTTTCCAATGTGTCGGTTTCTGCCACACAACGATGTGAATCAGTAATAAGTATACACATATTCCCTTCCTCTTGAACCTCCCTCCAATCCCCAGCTCCCTCCGCGTCCCACCCCTCTCGGTTGTTACCGAGCACTGGGTTGAGCTTGTTTTCCTGTTCCTTCTGTGACATTGGTTCTCCTGCATTTCCTCTGCAGGCAGTAATATCTGTAAATATTAACAGTTTTGTTTCTTCCTTTCCACATGTGGTAGCACTTTCTTTTTTAAAAAATTTTAATTGGAGGCTAATTACTTTACAGTATTGTGGTGGTTTTTGCCATACATTGACACGAATCAGACATGGTTGTACATGTGTTCCCCATCCTGAACCCCCTCCCACCTCCCTCCCCATCCCATCCCTCAGGGTCGTCTCAGTGTGATAGCACTTTCTTAGTGCACTGACCAGGCATAGTAAAACTTGCAATGAAAATGGGTGTTTTCATCTTATTCCTGACTATAAAGAAAATGTTCTAAAGTTTTACTGTTAAATATTATTTTTTGTTTTTAAGTTTCTTCTTAATTATATTTTGCTGAGTAATTATTATTGCTATTTTTGTCCTGCATTAGTATTGGATTTCACTTAACGCAGAGTCTGAATTTTTAGATGTATATATATATATACACATATATATATATATGGGCTTCCCAGGTGGCACTAGTGGTAAAGAACCCGCTTGCCAATGCAGGAGACATAAGAGACACAGGTTTTTTTTTTTTTCCATTTATTTTTATTAGTTGGAGACTAATTACTTCACAACATTGCAGTGGGTTTTGTCATACATTGACATGAATCAGCCATGGAGTTACATGTATTCCCCTTCCCGATCCCCCCTCCCACCTCCCTCTCCACCCGATTCCTCTGGGTCTTCCCAGTGCACCAGGCCCGAGCACTTGTCTCATGCATCCCACCTGGGCTGGTGATCTGTTTCACCCTAGATAATATACATGCTGTTCTCTGGAAACATCCCACCCTCGCCTTCTCCCACAGAGTCCAAAAGTCTGTTCTGTACATCTGTGTCTCTTTTTCTGTTTTGCATATAGGGTTATCATTACCATCTTTCTAAATTCCATATATATGTGTTAGTATGCTGTAATGTTCTTTATCTTTCTGGCTTACTTCACTCTGTATAATGGGCTCCAGTTTCATCCACCTCATTAGAACTGATTCAAATGAATTCTTTTTAACAGCTGAGTAATATTCCGTGGTGTATATGTACCACAGCTTCCTTATCCGTTTGTCTGCTGATGGGCATCTAGGTTGCTTCCATGTCCTGGCTATTATAGAGACCCAGGTTTAATCCCTGGGTGGGGAAGATCCCCTGGAGGAGGGCATGGCAACCAACTCCAGTATTCTTGCCTGGAGAATCCCCATGGACAGAGGAGCCTGGTGGGCTACAGTCCATAGGGTTGCAGAGTCGAACATGACTGCATGCAGACACACGTGCAGGTGGGTTTACTATGGTAAACCCTATGAAGAATTCATAACCAAAAAGAATTCTTTTGGGAGCCTATGAAGAATTATTTTTTTATATTCCAGCAAGAAAGTTTGCTTTAGCTTCCTCAATTAAACGGTAATAAAGTACCTACATCATAGTGTTATCAGGATTGAACGAGATTGCATATGTATATCACTAAGTTATACTGCTTAACATATAGTAAATGCTCAGTCGGTATTAATCATTATTCTTTTAGCTGAGTCAGAAATATTGCAGATGCCTGTGAGTTTACTTTATGTAAATAATGGTTTTAATATATTCTCACCCAGATTTTGTTTTTCTAAATTAAAATTTATTAAGGGATAATGAGACTGTTACATAGAAATATGTTACCATCTTTTTTACTTACTATTTGATAATGTTTAACAGTATTTTTCTTTAAATCCAGATTTAAATGCCATTGTTTCTACACTGTGTATCTGATGTTATTATGCTAATTGTTTCAAAGAAAAAATTTTATTGATCATGACTTGGTGGTGGTTATGAAACCATCACAAACTGTAGAGCAGAGGAAGCATCTGGGCTGATGCTTTCTGAAAGCATACTTATAAATATGTATGTAATATCTATCTCCAGTTATTTTTTAGGTAAAAATTTACATTTCTAAATTTAAAAAAATCCAACTTGCAAAGTGGCTTTTAAATAAAATGTAAATGATTTATAGAGCCACTCAAGATTTCCCAGGTAAATGTCGCTTTAGTTTTAAATGTTCTCGTCTTTGTAGTGAAAAGTAGGCACGGCGTCTTGTCAGTTGCCAAAGTAGTTTTTAATAGATAGAATTAGTTTTCTTTATGAGATACTAAATTTCAGAGTATCTGTTCCGTAACAGATGAAGTTTAACTAAACCAAATGACAGTATGTCTGCTTGTCCTGTAGCAAATTGATGAGTTTTACTTTCTCAGTCCTCTAGTGCTTCTGTTAGGTCCCCCGGCCAGATGGCTAGGCTTGGAAATGTAATGGCTCATTTTAGGTCTGTTCCTGACTTCGCGAGCACCCTGGGAGGTCCTGACTTGTCACTTGCAAAGTGCTGGCAATATTATTTCGATAAAGAGTGAGGGAGGAAGCCGAAAATGGTGATCCCTAAATTCAGGCCAGAGTGACGTTGACATTTATGGAGATTTTTCATAGGATTTGTCCTGAGAAGAAAAATTGTGGAGCGTGCTTAAAAGAAACCCTCTTGTTGCTTTACTTTCTACTCTTAACACTTCTGATAACAAATGTGTAGGAGTTTTTCCCACACCAGACAATCCTCCAGCTCACTCCTGGGTGTCACACACTGGAGGTGTCCTTTAATTCAATTATGACTGACTAAATGGACCCCGCAGGCTATGGGCCCAGTCCCACAAGACTGCTCCCCACTGTAGACATCCATTACAAGTCTGGGCCTCTGATACTTCTGACCAGCCCACTATCAATCAGGGTTCCCATTGCCTCACCCCCACCCCCACCTCCTTGGGTTCCATAATGTGTTCCAAACTCACAAAACTCAAGGAAACATTTATTTAAGTTTACTGGGTCATTAGAACTCAGGTAAGGTCCGAAAGGGTCCTGAGAGCAGGAGCTTCTGTTCCCATGGAGTTGGGGTGTCCCACCCTCCCAGCCCATGGGTGTGTTTATCAACCCCAAAAGCTTGTGAACTCTGTACTCTATGGGTTTTTATGGAGGCTTCATCTCCTAGGCATGATTAATATGTTAGTCTCTAGCTCTTCTCCCCTCCCTGGAAGATGGAGGGTGGGTATGTAACTGAAAGTCCAAGCTTCTGTTCTTGGCTTGGCCTTTCTGGTGACAGCCCCCGTCCAGGAGCTACCCAGGAGCCCACTAGTAACCCCCTCATTAGAACAAAAGATGCTCCTATCACCCAGGAAATTCCTAGAGATTTAGGACTTCTGTGTGCCAGGAATCAGGGTCCAAGACCAAATATTGGAAACAAAGATATTCCTGGCACTGTGTTGATCAGGAAATTACAAGGGCTTACGTGCCTGGAACTTTGGGCAGAGACCAAATATGTGTTTTTAACTGTGAAGGCAAGTTATTAGGAGGAAACACCCCCCCCCCCCCGCGCCCTGCCCCCAACACACACATAGATTTCCACAAGGAGAGGTTCTTCCTAGGCATGCTCT